CCCCAGCACCATGTGGCTTCCCTCAGAGTTCCTCCTGACTCGTATTGATCTCTTGTTGTGTCCTTCTGATGGAAATGGATCTGTTTCCCCCGGGGTCTCCGTGGTGTCACTGGTTCTCTCCGCCCTTCACAAAGACATTTTCACAGATATGCTGGGCCGAGGACAGCCTGCAGATCCGATCAATATTGTCAACAAATCCCAGAGAAAACCCTCAAATATAAACCTGTGTTTATTCTAAGGCCCTTTGCCTTCAGTCCTGTTAGACGTGACGGTCCTTCAACTCATGCTTAACCTTAAAGACTGAGCCTCTAGCGTTATAAAGATTTAACAACAGCAATGATAGCTCTGTGATTGGCACTGCTATAAGAACACTCAATTAAATCTAGCTTTTAAATATGAACTCACCTTTACATTCCCAAACATTAAGGATTAAACATCTGGAAAATATGCATACGGGTCAGGACCATTGCATGGATGTGTTGCAGTGATTGGACATGTGGGAACAACGGGGACCAGAAAGATGACGTTAGCATTCCCTTTTCTAACGTTTAGATTCAGACAGGGTGAAACATTACTGATAGATTTATAATAACGTGAATCGCCTAACGATAACATTACAAACAGCTTAGTTGTGTTGCTTTTGGGAAAATAACACGTTTAGCACATAACATGGGCCAGGACTATTTGGGCTTCTAGCACATTTTTAAGACCTTTTTATTATTTGTGAAAGGCCAAATATAAAACTAAAAATGTCTGAACATGATGGACAGGTTCCTCGTCTCTTGGCTCAACATTTCTTTATTGACGAATGCTTTTTAGTCTGCAGAATATTTCTGACAACTTAAATCTGCTGAAGTTCATTATTCAGAAAGCTCAGTTATCAAAAACAGTGTTTTCCTTTTCCATTTTGAATCAACCCTAACTTTTTTATATCTGTTAAAGCACACAGATAAAAATGTAAATCTGTGGAATGACTCATCTGGATATCTGTGTATGGTCTGACTGCATTTAGACCATACAGTAACATCTGGAGAGTTAATTTAACACTTCAAAAGTCCATTTGAACACTGAGCCAGTGAACATATGGACCTTATCTCAGAGTTAAATTAACTCTCCAGATTTTTACTGTGTAGAAACATTCATCTGTTTGCATTATATCATATTCCATGTACTTGTATACAGACTCTTCTTGCACTATTTCTATTTTATTTGTATTAACTTGCAGATCTCAAAACATTCTCTTCACTATTTGATTTGTTTTATTTGTTTTATGTGTTATATATATTATGTTGCTCTGTTGGAGGAGGAATTCAGTTTCTTATCTCCACATCCACACTGTAGCTGCTGAGCACATGATGATAGAGACTTGAAATGTCTAATACCTTAAATCTTCCTGCCGGGGAGTTTGTGTTTTCATCTTCCAGTTTGAATGAACCCTAACCCTAACCTGTGTCGGTCTGTGAAGGCACGCAGATGTGATGACTCCCAGCTGGATGTCTTTGTATCGTCTGACCATAGCTACATTTCTAATACCTTCCATCTTGCTGCAGGAGAGTTTGTGGAGAGGCAGCTCTGCAGGGATGCCATCCTGCCGATGCCTGCCCTCTGCGAGGTGCCTTGCCCAAAGGACTGTGCCCTGAGCCCCTGGAGCTCCTGGACCCTCTGCTCCAACACCTGCTCCGGGAAAAACACCGAGGGCAAACAGACCAGAGCGAGGTCCATCCTGGCTTACAACGCTGGAGAAGGTAAGACATCAGAATACCTTTAGTCCTGCAGAGGGGACATGTACACACAATAGGTCCTGCAGAGGGGACATGTACACACAATAGGTCCTGCAGAGGGGACATGTACACACAATAAGTCCTGCAGAGGGGACATGTACACACAATATATCCTGCAGAGGGGACATGTACGCACAATAGGTCCTGCAGAGGGGACATGTACACACAATAGGTCCTGCAGAGGGGTCATGTACACACAATAGGTCCTGCAGAGGGGTCATGTACACACAATAGGTCCTGCAGAGGGGTCATGTACACACAATAGGTCCTGCAGAGGGGTCATGTACACACAATAGGTCCTGCAGAGGGG